AAAGAAAAAAATTTCAGCCAAACAAAAAAAAACCATCCTTGCTTCAAAGTGCATTTCTCTTGGCACTAAATTTACTCACCTTTAAACTGGACAGTGCTTTACTGAGGTCCGATGTGTAACCACTGGACTCAACAGCTACTTGTTATTTGAGTTACTACAGTATCTTTGGCCATCAAATCAGGATTCCTTGAAAGGCTGCACCATTATAAAATAACAAGACAGTACTTGCCTTGAGGAGATTAATACTTATTATCACTGCTTATTTGCTACTTCTACCTTGAATTCATTCTCCTTGTCCTTTGGGCCTTTGTGGAAGGGCCTGTCATAGCGGAACTTCCGGATGTTGTTGACGCGGTAGAAGCTCTTTATGCGATCAGGGACACGGTCCATTTGCAGCACATCGATGTTGTCTGGGATGGGGGTCACCGCATAGATCTGTAAATCTGTAAGTGACGTAGTCAAAGAAAGCTACGGGACATCAAACTGGAAAGCCAGCTTTGCTGTGGAAAGGAGCAGGATGGTCGTCTCAGAAAGTCATGATCCTCTGGTTTCCAACACTCTTCTTTTGTGAGGGACACAGCAGAATACTAGACTAAAATGACTAGAAGAGTCCACAGAGTTGCAGTATCTCACAGCCAGACTCACCAAAGAGGGAGACAGCTGGGCATGCAAAGAGTATGTAGTAAGACATCCAAAACACCTACAGCAGGCAAAACATCCAGTCCCTGTTAGTTTTAAATAGAGCTAAGTGCCTCATTTGTGCAGGAACTTTAGCAGGTATTGATGGATTTAGGTTCCTAAATATGTAATATTTCCCTTTGATAGGTATCGCCTTCCTTACCTCAGCTCTGTCTACGAACCAAAGTTATCCTTATTTCATCAACTTACGGTCCGCTTTAATTAAAGTGGTTTAACCTCAGTGTTACAGACAAGCTCTCTGCACGCAAAACCAAACAAACTGAAATGTACGTACAAACAACCTTTCTGCCTATCTAAGTATCAGTGTTACAGAGCACAGAAGAGTGAAGGGCACATGTCAGGAAAGGCAAGTGGGAAACAGAACCCACTGCAGGAGGTGTCATTTGCTGACAGTGTCCTTAGGGTTAGTCCTGCGCAATGTCCTTGCTGTGGTCACACAAGCCACAAACAGTGATGTCCTGATGACTAAAATCTCCAAAAGTCTCTGCAGAGCCATTAAATGTTATGTGGGTCAGTCTATCAACGTGACATCATATTGGTTGCATTGCAACACGCTACAGAGATTGCTAGTAAGAAGAATGAGATTCAGAGTCTAGCAGTTTAAAAGAAAGGGAGACTTAAAAAAAAAAAAAATACTAATGTGAAAAATGAACACAATGGAAAATAACATGTTGGAATTACTATCTGTTCCCAACAAAATATTCTTCAAGAGAAGGTATTTGGAGTTCTTTTTATGACACAAAACATGCACTGTGGCAACACTGCTGGGTCAAAGTTAAAACACGGATGTGACCAAGCACAGCTTTCCCCCTTACACACCGAGTATGACCTGTGTTGATCTCTGAATAAAGAGTGACTGTTCTCTCCAACGATACACAGCACAAGGAACTGGTTAATGCCTACTGTAGACTGGTGTATAGTTTTGTCCATGGCTGTACCTAAGACACTCAGGAACTGAAGCATCTGAGCTGATCACTTTTCAACACCTTCCTCCTCTGTGCCGTCCCCGAGTTGTTCTAATCACAGTTTGCCCCTTCACTGAAGGATACACTGGGCATCACACTGCAATATGGAGTCATCCGGGTGGTTTGGATGCTGCATTGCAATGGCTTGTGGGAACTCACTCAGCATCCTCTGCTGGAAGGCTTCCAGCCTCTCGTAGTCGTGACCCCGACATACATACTCCTTGTTCTGCAAGGACAAACATAAATTAGTCTCCTTAAAAATAAGTTAAATTCTGTCGACTTTGATCTCACTTAAAATTTTACTGCTTTAAAACCAAAGATAAATGACAATGTCCATATGCTAATGTGAGAGTAAAATGTGCATTTAACACAGCTGTATATTTTATTCCTTTTTCTTTTCAATGTATTTCATCAAGAAGTGATAAGTAGACTACTTCGCTGATCCCTCAGCAGACAGATGACTCTGATTCACACATGTAGCACTCAGTCCTACTGTCTTTTCTTATTTGCTTTCCAGACAACTGAAAAGGGTCTGCTTTTTAATTGGTCTGCACTGAAACATATCAGCCAAAACTTAAGTCACCAGCTCGGCTGGAAAGGCTGCCGTCAAATACAATTTACAGCAGACTGATAAAAATCCTACGGATTTCATAGAACAGAGGGAGATACATGTTTATCAATTTAGCAGTTAGGCTTAGGAAGCAGTTGTAATGAACTGTTCACAAAAAAAAACATTGTTTAATCCTTGCTGTACTGTCATAGCCATACAATCTGCCTCTGATCGTGTAGAACAATACATCCTCAGGAACTCCCTGAAGGAGTAATATGGAAAAGCCTTATCAAGAATTCTCTGTGGCGACTTGGCAAATTCCCCTTCAGCCTTAAAAGCATTTTCCTCTCCATGAACAAAATTTAATTTCTGCTGGTAATGAAAGCTTGTGTTGAGATATGCCTCTTGAGGCACTAAACCACTTCTGCATTGGTCTTGGATGCATTTTGAGCTATCTCAAACTTTGAACAGGAAGACACAGGATTTCTAAAGTCCTCAGTGTCATGAAGATTGTATTCCATTGCCTTAACCCTATTACCACGAAACGCAGTTTCGATTGCTGTTAAAACGTCTCCTGACGTGAGACTAGCCGAAGCGCGCAAATTCTCTAACTCTGGTAGTTTAAACTCATAACAATAATTGGAAGTACAGGGAGATCTTTCACCTTCAGAAAAACCAAAAAGAATCCCAGCAAACACGAACTGTTCCCCTCCCCTTCTACCTCTTGAATTTAGAAGCGGCAGTATATGCAATGTTTTCTTAGTTGCTCTGGAAAAGAGTTCTGGCCAAGCAGTTCTTGATCTTGTTACAAAATCGGAGCGAAAGCGATTATAAAACAGCCAATCGGTGCAGTTGTCTTTGGCTTTGCATGTCAACTTTATGGGACAGATCTTATCTTCCAGCTGTGACATACATCACTTTGTATGCATCAGTCACAACCAATCAGCAACCAATGAACTGGGAAAAAAACTGCATGATGAGTCTTGACAGTTCAGTCTGTAATGCCCAAACTTTGCAGCTATTATTAAATTTGGAGTGAGTCCATGTTTGAAGGTGAATCTCTTGACACTGTGTTCTTTATTTCAGCTTTAGATTGCAGCAATCCAGAAACTATAAGCCTATAAATAAAGTTATTGTCATTCTAAAAATAATGCCCTGGAAACACCTCAAAGCTAAATTTAATAGACTTTTCAGACAGATGCCAACACAAGATCTCAGAACGCAGCTTGTCAGGCCTTACTTGAACTTCTGGTAGGCAGAAGGCATGGACAATTTTAATTTACTTATGTAGGAAGGCTAGAAATAGATGCAGAATTTGTAGAAACATGGACAATGACTTCTCTAGACAAAGGGTCTTCAAAATCTAAGATGAAGAAAGAAGTGGCTTTCTGTCTGAAGCAATACAGCAATGAGAGAAAGGCATGGAGTTATTTCATGAATTGAAAATTTTAAATCCGTGTAAATCACGTAAATCTTTTTCTTCTCTAAAATAGCTACTTCCAATCTCTTTACAGTGTGATCCATGCTGATGTGACTGCTAATGGGCTTAGTCTGTGCTTCTCAATGTGTATGCTGTATGGATCATTAGAGAGAGAAAGGAGGAGGATGACTTTTAATGAGATTGCTACATTAGTAATCTGCTATCAGAAGTACTGCTACCAAATATAACTGCAGAATTAACAAGGATTATAATTATATACACTCATGTTCACTGTTCATGTCTTCAGTCAAGTATTCAGATTGTTACACCGTTTTGCAGAGAGAAGTGCTGTGCCCTGAAAACTCCCGCAGGGTTAAACATACAGGCCATGCAGGACCCGAGATGAAACTGAGGGATCCATAACATAATATCCCTCCTGTCAGAAGCTAGATGCACTGATGCTACTTCAAAAGGTAGGAATGCTTATTTGCCGTGACGACTTTGTTGTCATTCATTTTCTGAAACATCTGTTGTTAAGATATGAAAAAAAGAGAAAGTATCAGTTTTCTCTGGAGGTTCATGGGAGGGCAGCTGCTGCCTCGTCCCGCAGCTCTTGGCATCCCCCCGGATCCTCTGCAGCGCATTCCTCACAGAGGCTCAGGCTGCTGTGTTACGGCGCTGCTCAGCCTCACCTTCGAGGAACATGAAGCCACCCTTTACCCACTGTTCTTTTCACCTGATTAACTCCAACTTGCCTTCACTTGCTCTGTCCTTGTTTCCATTAGAAGACTGTAATTAAAGACCAGTGCTTAAATCCCAGTTAAAAAAACCCCCAACTTAGTAATCAGAGGGAAATTTAAGAGCTCAGATTTCAAAATGGTATGATTTAGTTTTCTGTAGCTTTTTACTGTGTAACTCAAGAGTGGTGCCACCTCTTGCCAGACTATTTCTTTAAAGAGAACACAAACCATGCACCTCCAGTCCTTGAAAGCACGCTTCAGGTTAGCTTGTCCTGTCAAGCTAGATGGCATCTACCATCAATTTTCAGACAGTTCTTACAGCAGTTGTCAGTTGTCAATATGAACAATCATATTGCTTCCTTGCTCTTAACTAGCAACAGGACACTGTATGAACAAATAGTCATTTTAAGTTTTGATTTCTCTTTAGGAAAAGAAGTTAGTTTCACTTTTAAAATGGATTGTAGACCCAGCTTATCCTGTATACAGCGGTGGACAGTAGGCTCAAAGGGATGACATGTCCAGAGAAGCTGCTAGGTTTTTTGTTGAAGAGAGATGAAATTTTTGCTTGTAGACAGCATAAGATAGTCGTTAGTCTGGTATCAGAGTAATTCTGTCATGTGAGACTTTTTAAAGTGTGATAAATTGAGATGATGAAAATTAGTTGAGTAATGACCCAACATTGCTGCAATACAGCATTTGGCTTAATATAGAGGCAATTTGTGCTGCATCTGCAGATTGTCAAAAATACACAGAGGCACAAGTCAAATTTCTGATCTCTGTTCCCAAGAACATTCCCAAAAGACAAAATCCTTCAGTTCAGCCAGAAAGCTGTTTCTGTCTGTGCCAGCACAGAAACATAAGCTGAATGGCAGACTTCGTATCTCCGCAACAAAGATACAATGCCTCAACTGCTACTCTGAGCCCAGTCACTTTGTCATACTTTGTAGAAGTTTGGCTTACCCGCAAGAAAAATGGGAATTTCCGACCATAAAAACCGACTCTGAAAAACTCAGGTTCTAAGCGCTGCTGTTCCATGATGTTATCGTAATAAGTAGCTTCCATTTTCTGCAGAGGAAAAAGCTGCTATCAGACCCTTAAAGCTGCACTTAAAACATTAGTCCCAAGACACAGTAAAATAGCACATTTGCCCCCACAATTTTTAATGAAAAGATCGAAATCCTTTTAAAGATAAAACTTATTAATTAAACAGTTCACATAATGAAACAGCCTATAGGATCAGTATACTCATTTTACAGTCTTGGAGATGACATATGAAAATTTTTCTGTCGTATCTCATTTGAAATTAAACAAGTCTTGCATGTAATTTATTTTGCATTGCAGAATTAATGGCAAAACTGAGATTAAGATCTATGTTGCCTGGTTCACAGTGTCCTACTCTCTCCTACAGCTCAAACTCTATACCACTGTTTGGAAAATTATATCAATTCAATTGGGTTCGCCTTAATTGAGTTGAGGGGCATGAAAACGGATGAAATAAAATTAAATCTTCTACAGCTCTGTGCACCAGTCGGTCTAACATGGAAGAAAAAAAAAGGATTTGGAAAAAGTAAAAGGACTTTTCTCTAGTTCCAATTACTAGTTTTGTGGCACCATGCTGGCATTTCTATCAAGAGTGGGATCTCAAGACCCCTTGCCAAACTGAACCTCAGTTGAAAGGCTCACAGAATTTCACTATAGCAAGCAGATATCTTTTTACAGAGAAGAATCAGTTTGATGTCATTGTTTTCACTGCAGGAAACCCTAACTTTGACTCAGAATATGTCATCAAGGTTTTGTTCTTGGTTCCCACACATATTAACTCCTTTTCTAAACTGGAGACGGTCCCACTTTTACTGGAGTAAAAGCAGCAAGAATAAAGGAATGTGTTGAATAATGCATAGAGAAAAACTCTTCAGAGTGGGGAGAAATTAAAGCCAGTTCACATCAACACAGATTTAGGCAATCTGAACAGAAAACAGATCACACACAGGTGAGCAAAGCGATGAGGTGAACTGTTTCCAGTGAGCAGCTGAGATGACCTTCACCTGCCAGCTGATTAAATCCAAATAATCAAGAAGCAGCAAGAACAGCTAATTTACTGATTCTTCTTAGGAAAGCAAGTCTTGATGCACAACTTAACTGAGCCTTTAGAAAGCTTGTTTCCTGATCATTCATGATCAGTTGACCAGTACATAATTCCTGTACACCAGGGTAAGTTTTCACACTGCTCTGCTTTAGATGTCTACAATAAACAAGCACACAGTGATGGTCACCTGAACTCTCTTTAGGGCCACCCTGAAGAAAACAGGCTCTTCAGAATTGCAGTTCATGAGACCCACTTAGACAAGTATCTTCAGATAAGAATAAATTTGACTTTTAACAAGAATTTAAACCACTGGGTATAGAAATACATCCACACAGCAGAAATCTTAAGTTTGGATACATGAACACTACTGCAGGGACAAAAGCAGATGAATTATTTTCACATTCATAAAGTTTTTAAATAACCAGAACTTGACTTTTTCCAATTAAAGCACATGCTGCAAATACACCCTTATTTCATCACGTGTTTGGTTTTGCCACAGGACCAGACTCCTCTAAATTGACAAGAATGCCATCAAGTGTTTGCCTTCTCTATTCCTTGTCTCTTGTTCCTCTTACAAGTCAATTGAGGCACAAGCTGCCCTTGATATTCTTGGAATTAAAATGAAATATTAATATGCAACTTATTTTTTTTTAAATAAAAAAGATATTTTATGTAAAAATATAATTAAGCAACTGCAATAGCAAGCCCAGCTCCTGTGTGTGCTGTCTTCCACAGGCTCATGGGAGTTTACTGCTAGCAGACTTAGGAATTACTTCGGTGGACCTATAAAGTCATCGAAATGGATCAATGGCAAAAGCGTTGCTGTAAATGCATGGAGCTGTATAGGGAACATGATTATTTTTTAAATTCAGAATGTTCTAACAGGACAGGAAAATTCTGTGGGAAATGACATGAGAATCTACAAGGAGAGGAAGTGCTGCTACTTACACGAATCCAGCTGAGGCTCTGGTAATCATATAGACTTTCGTACTGCAGGGCCAGTTCTCTGCACAGGGGGATTCCAAACTCCCAGCTCTGTGAAACCAAAGCAAATCACAATCACAGCACACAGATTGTTACTGCCAGCTCAGCTGAAAGGAATATGGAAACACAGTTTTGGGGATTCATTTGGTATGAAATGCCAGGGATTAGATGTGATGACATACAGTTTCCATTGACTATCAGATGAATTCCTTCTTCAAGACGGTTAACGGAGGCTTATGTTACACTGAAATCACACACACACTGCTTGCTACTGACAGTTCACTCATGAGACCGGAAGCTCACTTGGAGAAAGACAATACAAGTAATAATTTTTCTTCCTGTTAGACAAAATCTCATTTGCTTTCTGCACCAAAACCTCCTGGAGTAAAGAGTTAGGGCTTCACTCCTCATCAGAACACTCCCTGTCCCAGGGCTACTGCTTCCTGCTGAAAGCAAGAACCTGCCAAGCAATGGGAAACACTCCAACACAGATCCCAGAGCCTCAAAACAGAGCTGCAGCACTGCATCGAGTCAACATCCAGATACAGAACTGGAAGCAAAACTCATTTCTTCAGCTTGCAGTCTGCATACAACAGACCTTTTCTAGCACACAATAGCTGTCACCCTCAGAGGTAAGGGAGACTGAGTTTGGGCATGCCTACGTTGAGAGAAAGACTCCTTTGTTACCTCACTTAGTTTGAGTGCTCATTGTACACCTGTGAACTGGAATCTCCTCTCCCATCACCTGCAGAGCCTGGAAGCCTTTTGGGGGAACAACTGTTCCCTACCATACTCATCTAAAGGATCTGGAACACCAAAGTCTCAGCTGAACCTTTCCTGGATTAACTTTTGTGTGTTACTGGGCTAAGTTGCCAGTTGTTTTAACGAGGACCGTCTTGTAGTGAAAACAAAATTAACGTGTGATTTAGACTCTCACCTTAAGTTTTAAGAATATTAATAGCAATATTGTAGTTTATTTGTGACTCTACACTGTCACCAAAATGCATTGAAAGACCAGTTACTTGACTACTCAGGTTTTTGTGATCTCAAATTAAAGAGGATTTTTGCTGTGGGTTGTCAAAGTCCATGACATACAAACTGATAAACTGCATTGGGGTCAACAACATTAACCAGTGAAGTGTTTATATTGGCAAACACAAATACCACTACATTTTTTTTATAGCTTTTAATATTCTTTATGGAGATATTATACGTAGATTTTTCCGTCCTTAGATGATCTGTATGTACTTGAAAGAATGGAAAAGTGTCTTCTTGAAGAAAGCATCCAGGAGTAAATGGCTTCTGTCACAGTGAGTGTGAGCAGTCCTGCTTCCAGATGGGATGCTGGGGCTAAAGCCTACATAATTCTTTAATCTGTTTTCCAGATAGAAGCAGAAAGCCAGCTGGCTGTCTTCCCTTCAGGTGATCCTACATATGTAACTTTTTCATGCTGCTTTTGTGATGTGAATTACATTAACAACCTGTAACCACACCTTAGTTCTCCTTATACCAGCTTTTCTACATATACCCTGGTACTGTTCCTGTCATCCTAACTCAGGCTTTCTCTCTTTGTTTCAGTTAGATTTCCACACAGAGAAATTCCACTGTGCTAGCTGAACATGCTGTAGATACAAGATGAGATAGAGAGGTGAAGAAACATACAGGCAACTTCTTAGAGAGAAAAAAGTTTGCAGATATTTGAAAGAAAAAGAGAATGAATAGATATCTGATTCGCTGTGCTCCTCAGTTTTAAAATCTGTGGTGTTAATGAATACCATCTTCAGAGTGTAGAAATTTAATATGTAGTTCCATGTGCTATGCAATTGTCACTTCCCTCTAAAGCATCATTCCTCCCCCTTTCAAATAATTTCCTAACGTCTCCACTGCTAATTTCCCTCATCACTGCTTTGTTTTGCTGACGTCTGATCTGTTTGCATGTTCTTTATTATGTCTTTCACTTGAAAAGCACTTTCATAGGACATTTATTGCAGCTTTCTCCTAAGGCACCAGCAGCTCTCAGCTGAGCACTACTGACTGCAGACGAGAAGGCACAGATAGAGACAATCAACATTTATGAATGGCAACCTTTATTTACTTGCATCCCAGTGTGCAGATTTCTTTTGGAAATATGACTCACATGAGGGTGGCACAAGAGAAATTAGTACAAAAGTTGGGAATGGAGCACATGATCAAAAAATGAAGTGCTTTGGAAATACAGCTTTGAGTCTCTCTCAGCACTTGAGTGGCACTAAGGAGAATACACGCCATGATGCTGTGATGGGAGCTGGGCAGAGTTTTTAATTACTAAAATCTAACATGAACGAGACAGAAAGGGTTGTGTAGTTTTCATGCTATTGCTATCCAGAAGCATGATCAATTGGATTCTAACCGTTTCATACAGTCTTCTTCAACCAGAAAATCTTGAGTTTTAACAGATAAAATCCTTAACTGTCAGTTAAAAAAAAATTCTCCTTTAAAGTTACACACTTGCACATACTGCTGACTGAGCCCTAAACCAATTCAAAGCATAGCAGAGAGCAGCGGGACTGAGCACACGACTGGAGCAAAGGCTGAAAGGGCTTTGGAACACCTTGTTCTTTCCTAGAATGGGGCTGCTACAGACAGTGCTGGGAAGGTGCTCCTCGCCTGCCATGGGCCATGTCTCCACTGTGCCCTCTGCTGGGACACCCTTTAAGTCGAAACCAAAACTGTCACAATGTCTTGTGGCCACAGTTTGCTCCTGTTCCTGTGCTGAGAATATTTTCCCATTAAAAAATACAGAATCTTTATGCCCCTCTCATGCTGCTTTGACCCCCCTTACTTAGTGAAAGATACCAGGAGCAGCATGAGAAGCTTAACTCTTGAAATTCACCTGAAGGACACAAAACAACAAATTCCACTCTTCAGGACCCGAGGAGGGACCACCTTAGGGTGGTGCAGAAAGAAACTATCAGACACAAGTTGAATTTCTTCCATTCCCTGAGCTGTTCCCTGTTACGCAGCAACAGAAAGAGCGCTGAAAAGCAGCAGGAGGATTTGGCTTCTCAGCATCTTTCTCTGCCACAATTTGAGTGACACACACACACTGCTTAAGTGGATTATTTAATCATTCAGCTACCATTTATAATAAAGGACGATTAAAACACAAAGACAAGTAACTCTACGAACATCCAGCAGGGAAAAAAAAACTCAAGAGGTTAACACTCTATAATCTGTAAGGAGTTTTATAGCAAAATTACATCTGTCAAGTTTTTAACTCCCTTTCAGTCCATGTACGGATTGCCTGTTTTTATCAAAAATACAGGCTCACTTGCTTCAATTAGTCTGTGTATCATCCTTGTCTAGACAGCACAGTACTGCAATATGAGCATGAGTCAGTAATCAACTTATTTTAAGCACAGTCTGAAAACCCCTGAAAATTCCTAAAACTAAAAAGAGAACCACATGCAGTATTATTACAAAAAAACCCAATTCTGGCAAAAGAAAAATAAAATCCTTTTTAATGAATCACTTCCTCAAAGAACCTGCCTTCCTTTTGCAGGTTCTGTAGAGAATGTCTCTGCCACATGCAGCTTTCCATTATCAGGGCTAGGAAAGAATTATCTGGGATGGCAATGCTACATGAACCAAATCCCGTTGTGTTTAATGCCACTGTCATTGCTCTCACAGGCAAAACCAACCCTGGGGCACACAGATGTACGTTATCTTCCAACAGTATAAGCTGCAGGAATTTTTCTAGAGATGGGAAAAATTTAAAAATATTCTGACAGATGATATTGCTTTTAAGGTTCACCTCTAAAACGTTCCCAGAACACCATGACAGAAGGGATTATAACACCTACGTCTGCAGGGTTTAGAAAAAAAAAATATTGTAGGAAAAACAAAATTGAACTGTATTGATTTTCTTCTTCTGCAATGGATGGAACTGCACTTTAGCAGAAAGCCACTTCAAATGATACCAGTGACACTGAAAATACTTCAGTCTTTTTTAATAAAGGGACTCCTACAGTGAATTGCCTCAATTTGCCTGTATAGGTTAGAAAGAAAACAATTCCTAAAGTGAGTCATAATACAGCAATTTGCATAGACAACGACAAAACACCATCCTGCCCCTTGAAAGCTAAGGAGCTGGCTTTCACAGAGCTTCCTGATGTATCAGGCCATCCAAAGTTTGGTTTAAAGGCATAAAAATATTTAGGTGTTTTTCCTGGTGGGCTGCCTAAACTAGTTCCAAATGTTATGCATCATGAAATACCCATATCCATTCTCTCATCTGTTTTTTTCGTTCAGAAAAGAGAGAGTCAAGAAGGAATTTTTCATACAAAATTATTTCCAGACTACTGAACTGGGATGACAGGCTTGCAAGCCCTAAGTCAGTCAGGAAAAGGGAAGGAAGCTGCTGGAAGAGAGAAGAAGTTGGCATACCTTCCCTTTGTTGAAGTAATGGATAATCTTACGGCACAGACCTTCCTTACGTTGCCACTCTGACTGAGATGGATAATGCAGGAACTCTCTCAGAGGTCTGTCCTCCCACTGAAGCAACTCACAGTACAAAAGCAAAGTAAATGCAGCCTCTGTTGGAAATGCAGTTATTGAACACTGAATCAATACAACAAATAAATACAGCCAAAACACTGAAAGGTCACTAGACATGCTTCTTAAACAGTCTAGGATTTCTAATGTACAATTTCAGAAAAATTCTGAAGTCTCAGATGATCATTAAATTATTCAATTACATAAAGTAGCAGCAGAAAGCTGTTTCCTATGATCCTAATTTTTAGATACAGATCTGCCAAGTTTCTTTTCACTAGCTACTTGATTTAAATGCACAGCCAGATATTCAAATATGTAACTGGATTTGTGGCCTGCAACTGTCAACAGAGCTTGGACAACACACAATTAAAGTCCATACGCTTCCTAAGTGCTCCTAAACACCACAATGCAAGGGAATATGGCAAATAATAACATAAGGGTGGTTTTGTGGTTTGAATCTTCCTTTAGTTTTGATTCCACTGATGTGATTTTTTTTCATCAGTGTTCCCAATAAAATGCTTTAATGTAAAATTTGGGGTGTAACGGCATAGTCACATGATTGTGTGGGCACAGATATATTATTTCACTTGAGGGAATGGGCTGGACCTCAGCTTTTCTTCCCAACAGCCATAACTGATACATACAAATTTCTTCCAAAAAGTACTACTCAGATGTGAGAAGGTAACACTGGCACAGTCACGAACTTCCACCAGGATTTTAAACAGACCCCATACGATATCTTGCTAACCTGTATAGTTCTCAGCCTGCAGGTGCATGTCACAGAGCTTATGGATATAGCGGATGTACATCTCCTCTTTGTTGATTTCGGATTTATAGAAATTCTAGGAAAGGAAAGAGAGTTGTTATTGACACTTTTCCTTCACTCAAGACTATCAGCAGCATCTGTGTGCAAAAAAAGGTACTGAAAAGAGAATACATTATCAGTGTAAAGGAAAAGTCAATGCTCTTCTCACATTCACACTGATTTAACCCACTAATTTTATAGTGTTATGCATTTTTTTTTTTCAAGTGAAGGTAGTCAAAAGCTGAAAGAAAAGGTGAGAGGGGTTGTAGAACCTCTGTCACAGGGATACTCGGAACTCAGCCGGACAAGGTCCTGAGGAGCCTCAACTGTTTGGCCCTGCTTTAAGCAGAGTTGGACCAGAGACTTCCAGGGGATCCTCACAACCCCTGACGTTCTGTTCTGTCACCCCGCTGCGTGACACAGATTCCTACCCCAGCCTTTCCAGTTACAACAACACAGCACGGTCTCAAAGACAGATCAAGGAAACATCTTTACCATGAGGTTAACAGTGCAGCCAATTTTCTTGTTTTCCGTTTCATCTCCTTTCATACAGTCCCTAAAAAAGCAGAGCGATGTTGAAACATACATTTGCAAAAAAGTCCTCTTAAAATAAATTTAAAGCTAGCTATCTTATCCTCTGGTTTCCTTGGATCACAAACATCAGTTAATCATGTATTTTATTTTAATAAAGTTCCTCTAAGAAAACTTTCTGTATTATGGTTTAAATGATAGGAGAACTGAGTGTTCTCTTACATGCCTGCATCTGAGAATGAGCACCCAAAATGACTGCTACTTCTTACAAGAATCTGAGCAAAAACCAGGTAATAGTGGCATTTATAAATTCAGCTATCCAGTGTAGTGTTGGCACACTGAAAGATACAACCTGAGTAACTTAGACTAGATTACTAATGTTTTCACAGCTAAGATTTATTTTTTATATATTTTATTTGCATTGAACTTATCTTTAATTGCTGAAAATTGTAGAAATTTTATCTATTCAAGCAGTACAAAGTTAAAGGCTTCAAAAATTACTAATCTTGACTTGAAAATTTAACACTCTCGTGAAGAGACAAGAATTTTAAAGCAGCGACACAGCAAACTGTCTTGAGAACTCCTGTGTCAGCTAACTGGCAGCTGGACTCTAAGAGATGCCTGTGGACTGCCAAATGCTAGCATAGCTCCCTGTTCTGCTCTGGGAATGAAAAGAATACGCTGTGTATTACAATTCAACTAACACCAGGTATCTGTTCTGCAATTAAGCATGAAAAGGTCTGTGTATCAAAGCTGCACTGATAGCACATTTCATTTAAAAAATCAGCTTCCTTGCCTTCCATTTAATTGTGCCTCAGATACCTGATCCTGTGTAGTAGTTGTACAGCAGCTGTTGTCAGGAAGGAAACAAGAAATTGGATCAAACTGGCAAGAATAACAAACAGAGCAAACTAAAAAGCACAGAGAAGGATTTGGGACTGCAGAATACCCAGCCCTGTCACAGGTTTTCACCTAGAATGAGCAGCAGCAGGAGAAAACATTACTTGAACTCCTGTCAGTAAGCTAAAGACAGAAATATCTGGGGCAGTTGTATACAGTTTCAGATTGTATTATCATTCCATAAAAAGAACTCTTGAGAGTGTGTGTATATGTATGTGTGTGTATACACACATATATAAAATTATTTTCTTGTAACTGTGCCAAAGCTCAGCTGTGTTGACACAATAGTCCTGCAAACTTCAGTCTAAAACTGAAAAAATGATCCCTAATTTATAGTGGAGTCCTAAACACGAGTCACCAGGTGACATGTCAGACCTTCTTCAAATGAAATGTTTTGAAACGTTTTCCAACCCTGCATGCCTAGATGAGACATTCAGCATGTCTTGGTTCAGCAAGGCGTTTGAACTCATTCCTGCATTTAGCACCCGTTCTGCTGAATTATGCGAGATCATTTCAAGGATGAAAGGAATTATCATTTAGCAACCTGATTAAAGCTCAACACACAAGGACAAAGTAAAAATTTCATTATCTTTGCTCCTACGAGTAAAGAGCATCCAAGAATGAGAATTAGGGCTCTAGTGATGAAGACTTGAGATTTTTGCTCAGAAGCCCAGCAATGAGCTGGGCTTGCTTACAGAGGACTTCCCATCAGAGAAGCATGCAGCATGATAAACTATCTAAACAATCCCTGTTGGAAGGAAATTTGGTACCACCTCTTCACAGAGCTGTTAGAATATATTATTGTAGTTGCCAGATACCTATAGTCCAGTAGACGCTCCATGAGACGAGTAACTGACGTTACAAAAGAGACTCCAGTCTCCCGCCACGTTTCCTGCTCAATCTTCTCCAGCAAACTGTTTGGAGATGGAAAGATGGGATGAGGCTTTCAGGGAAATGGAACAGTGCATGCAGACAGCTGCAGACAACTTGGTTTCTCCCTCATACAACAAATTCATAGAACTACTGTCTTACCTGGGATAAGGCCCAAAGAGCTGGGTTCTACTCCAGGCAGCATGAAGCAAAGACAAGGAAATTACAGAATTGACGAGAGAAAGAAGAGTATCTTCACAGCACCATTTAAAATGTATGAAAAAAGAGTAATGCTTATGGCAGCAGTTGATGCCTACATTATTACCTGTAGCTTAAATCCTGCTAACAGCCATCAGAAGTCAGAAGGGAGTCTAAACCTAATGCAAATACCTCTTCTTTGCTCATCCCCACGTAAAGTTCCACCTCTTATCAGCAACCAATCAACCAACCTTGAATCACAATTTATTTAAACTGTAAATAAATAAAGGCATTCTTCCTTCTCAGCACACTAGACAATACAGGGAGCGTCCCACTGAGACAATGTGAAGGATTAGAGAGGCTTGAGTAAGAACACTGAAAGTCATATTAAAAAGTGAAAAAAGAAAGCAAATTTTCACGCTAGCTTCCTGAAACTGGCTCTCCAGTCAAAGAACTTGCGAATTCTATACTGGCAAGAGGGAAGAAATTCTGTTGGGTGTCATACATGCCCCGGGAAGAGTCGAACCCTTCTGTACTGGAATGATTTTCCTTGGCTGAGGGAGCCAGTTCACATTTCAGCAGTGTAGCTGAGACCGCAGGATTCTGGGTCAACTGTTTATTTCACACAGCATTTATTAACTTTGTGGAACTGTTTCCTCAGAGTTCGCACTGTCTGCAGAAAAGTCAGTAGCAAACATGAACTAAGATGTTGCTGGACTTCCAGGCTGTGTTTCTTGGCAATACATCCAGTCATTATTATCTAAAAATAAGTAACAAGCTGCAGTTCCTGAATGCCTAACATTTTGGGTAGGAAACGTCTTCAAACAGAACAAAGGAGATGTAAATATTCCTCTTGCCAGGTGAATAATAATAATAAAAAAATTTCTTGCCTTTATCCCTGAAATGGACTTATCTGTACACATAAAGTGCCAGACTTCCCGAGTCTGGATATGCACAAATCAAAACTGAATACATCTCCAGGCTTCCTAAGCATAAGTGTACAGGATGGGCAGGCTTATCTATCTTGAAAACGAATGAATGTGCAATTGTCAATTCAGAGATGCCAGTAATAGTCCTAGTCAAACAAAGGTTTATGCCTCAAACTGCCAACATGCTATTTGAGGCCACATAAAATTGTCTGGATTATATGGCTAAAATTCTGCTCGTGAAATTTATGGCTCACTGGAACAGAAGATTGAGGGTTAGCCGCTCTGGACTCACAGAGTTTGAAATAAACTAGAATCATTAGAAATTAAACTCAGAGACAGATCAGTGATCAAAGACCACTCAGTGGAAAGTCAGATGTAAAGACTTGAAATCTATCCTTATGAGTTACTGGATTTTTGGTGCAAGAGGGAGTGGAAATAGTCATGGTGGACTCTGGAGGAAGCAACTTGCAACTGTCAAGCCAACCAAAAGACAACGTTTAAAAACTGGAATAATCAAAGGAAAAGCTCTTTTGCTTTAACAAGGCCTGACTTGCTAGATAGTACACTGGTTCTCTAAGCAATCCCAAGGCCATGATTTCACTTAGTGCTATCTAAAAAGGCAAGCACTGGCTCCTCTAGCAAAGCAATTTTTGGCAGGAGGATGGTAACTCCTTACCTGTGCAGCCTTCTATTAGATTTCACAAAAAGAAGACATTTAGGGGTTTATCTTCATTTCAGAATTAGAGTGACACATTTCTATTTCACTGAGCCATGCCATGAAAACCTGCCAGAAAGCCAGCGATTGCGTTCTCTGAAGATGAGCTCATAGCTGCGGCTGCACTGACTCCTTCTGTCTCTGCTCTGACTCCTTCAGTGACCCTGCACAACACAGTGAGCAGAAAGTGGCAGAGCTTACAGCAGGCTGAAGAGTTCCCTGTAGTTCTCATCCCCTTTTCCTTCAGATACCAGGCTGTCCAGCTTATCAATCAACTCGGCTTCCACCTGGATGGAGAAGTGATTAGTTACAAATTAGCTGTTCATGTAGAAGACAAGAGTTTCACACACTGTGAAGATTAGAAAGCTATTTTATTTCTCATGCCCTTTGGCTTCCCACTTCTATGTACGAGTGATTTATTTCTCTATGGCTCAGTTAAGTGGACATGCTTTTCTCATTTTTCAGTGAAATAGGAGGACTAAAATTAAATTATCCTTTTGCTTATCAGGGTCTAAATGAACATCTCAGGGGAGGCAATGCTTCTTCAGAGGAATTTCTCTAGTTTATTTTCTTATTAAATAAATCACTCAGACACTTTCTGAAAACCAGTGTATCAGATAAACCATACCTTGTACTGTAAGAGAACAGCCAGGCAAGGAAACTAATACCTGGCGTGATTGCTGCTGGGCTGCTGTGATGGTTCTGCTGGTAGGTAACAGATTTCCAGTCATCCAGGCATCATTACACTGGAAGACTGTTGTTCATTAAACCCAGTTCTGCCAAGGATCTCTCTGATTATATGATGCATTTTATTTTCACAGTTACCTAAAGGGCCACAACAGTATCATTATGTTTCTCTTCCCTTACAAAGGTTTTCAGTGTGTGTCCATTCCCCCCGTCTAATACGCCCTATTATCAGTTCGACATCACATATTCCTGTAAAATTGATTCAAGTGCAGAAATCAACGTATCTAACACTAAACAGAACCACTTCATGTAGTCTTGAAAGCACTAGTCTTCGTTATATTCTTGTAGTCACAAAGTACTAACGAAGACAGAGGTTCCTAAAGGTTGAAACTGTTTGCAGAAGTATAGCTTGTTTTTATTTAAAGACAAGTATAGTTGGAGTTTTGCTATGGTTTTCAGCTGCCAAATGGCAAATATTGCTGAAATCATTAGAGGGGGCCCCAATTTAGTCCATGAATCAGACTGTATTGTTATCCAGCATCACTGAAAAAATAACCTTGTTAAAATATGAGCTACTGAAAAAAATAAAAAAGAGCTTGGAAATGCACTTCCGAGATTTTTATATTTTCTGGCAAACAATTTAGCGGTCAAAATGTAAAAAGAAGCTCCAATTTAACAAAAAACAAACCCTACCCCGCTTTTGTTTGTGATCTACAATGACCTGACAGAAATCAGTAAGGCCTCTGTCCAGCTGTCTGGCATTATACTGGACAACAAACAACTTGCTGGTTCCAGCTGCTAATATTAATAAGGTTTAATACATCTTGTGCTATTTAACTCACTAATACAGATGATTATTCTGTCTTTAATCTTACAAAGCTACAATATATACTTCACAAAACAGTGTGGAGATGTGCTTCAAAGGTAATGTAAGAAATATTCTTGGGACTCTAGTTTAGAATATATTAGTGAGTAAAAAAATTAAATTAAGATTATGAAGCATTCACCTTTACACAGAAAACAAACAGGTTCAGA